CCATGGTGTTATGTGAGCCGACGTGGCAAGCCGACTTTCGATATTACTGCTCATCTCAAATAATATGCTTGCCCTCCTCGGAGTTCCCCTTTTTATTAAAATCAAGCTTGCGGTAGGTCATCTATACTGTTTTCCTTGAAGTTCCATGACTTGAAAATGCGCGTGCCATCCTTCCGCTCACAAGGAACGCATCGTTTTGTACTCCTTCTGACTAGTAAAGGACGCCATTCGTTACGGGTCCCACTGCCTCCTGCTACAGTGAACCCTTCAATGTGGAGCGGGGAATCCGTGAGCCAGGGGCAGTGTCGCCAGTCTAGGGGGGTGGGGGGTGAGGGCAGACACTTGACATGCGTGAGAAGCTGGAATGTTCGAATTCAACCGCGATCACATGGGATCCCCGCGGGTTAAGGCAGTGGGTCCCGCAACGAATGGCGCCCTATACTAGTCAGTAGGAGTACAAAATGATCACTCCCATCTCCAGTGACTTGCTGACGAAACCTGAGTGGGCGCTATGTGACTCGAGGGGGGCCAGTCGCCGCGCGCGGCCGTGCGGCAACAGGAAATTCGAACATTCCGGCTTCTCACGGAACATTCCAGCTTCTCACGCATGTCATGTGACTGCCCTCACCCCCAACCCCCCTGAATTGGCTACACTCCCCCTGGCTCACGAATTTCCTGTTGCCGCACGGCCGCGCGCGGCGACTGGTCCCCCCCGAGGCACATTGCGCGCCTCTTCGTTTTTTTTTTTAGCTTTCACGCGGCGGCGGCAGGAAAGGTTTATGCGCCGTGATTCGGTGTCGCACTTCAAGAGGCTCCCCTAAGGATGACCCATTACAATGGTATTCATAGCTAGAACCGTTAGATAACTATGACATCACGAGAGTGAACGCCAATTTGAACGAACGTATACGTATACGTGACGTCAACAAAATCCTGGACAAAGGCTCAGCTCCAGGTGTCGTACAAGCGAACAATGTAAATCATCTCTGTAGGATACCAACAAATTGATGGCACAAAGCGGAATATGACCTTATGGTCCTATATTGACAAGCAACGTGAACAGCGGAGTTCGTAAACTCACCAACACACTGAAAACGGGAATATTCAAGGAGTTTCGAGGAACTTAACAACTCAAGTAGAACGATATAGAGTTCAAAACCGAAGATCACTGGATGTTGTCCACCGTAAACTGCACCAATCTCCCTATGGCTTGGTGACTTTATCCTTCTCCACTCGCCCAAAGTCACATTGACTCCCTTCGGAGTGGATTCGAGTCGATCGCGCTACGTTCGCCATCCTACGGGCACTGACTGAACCTACTCATGCCTCAAGAATTGCAGATTGGTGAGGCCGTTCACGCCAAATCTTAAAACTAAAGTTATAGCTCTTAACGCGCTGCAAATCCGAGCCACAAAGAGCCAGAGAATGTGGCTTCCTTGTCCCTGCTTTTGCTTCCAATCGAGCCTGGCCAAGTGCAGCTCAAACTTACTATGCTACGGCACAGAGTGACCTTGAAAAGTCTCAAATGATGAAAAGAAACGCAAGTCAAGAACTGGCTAAGCCTCTCTGGCACGGGAGGGACGGTGGGGGTCAGAATCTAACGATAAGCCGGAATGGGGATTTCAACACCGAAATCCCGAGGTCAGCTCGACCGCGACGCTACCGCGTCGACCTTCCTGGCCCACAGCCAGTCTCGCTGCCTCGTCCTACGGCTCCCGTAGGTACGGGTACCGCCTGACGGCGCGGCTGCGGGAGTACAAAATGACACTCCCTCACATAGCACCTAGCTCACTTTCGTAGGACCACTAATCCTTCTTTGCAAGACCAATTTGTAAGGGTGTTCTCTAGCAGGTAACACGGCGATTTGTTTTTGCCAATGACTCTGTGGCGCAAACCACCCAATGCTTCCAAACACGATATATTTCAATTTTAACACATGCTTAGTCACCATTTCACAAAGGGATGGTGTGGGAGGTCGTATACAACCGATTCCTCCCATTGTGAAATTGGATGTGTTGCTCGGATGGAGTGTGATTGCGACGGGTTTCATATTTGATGTACGGCTCATGGGGCCGTATGCTATGCTCCCCGAAGGGGAAGTTCAAATTTTCTCTGTCTTCCCAACTGGGATTGTCCTGATAAAGGCCTACATTTAATGTATGTATGTAGGTTAAAGTAAACATGCATTGAAAATGAAGAAACTATATCGTTCAAAACAAATAAATTTAAAGGAAACTTTGCGTCACCTAGCTTCGGGGAAGCATAGCATACGGCCATGACCTTGTTGGAAAGGGCTCTGTGAGCGTACCGTGTTTATGAAACTCGGAGCAGATATGCTCCGTAAGCACATTGCTGAAGAAGTTCCCGGTGGTGTCAATATTGCGAATAGATGGTCAAGACCCTTACGCACTTGAACGTATAGTAAACAAAATTTGTTACTGGCGATATAAGCTCCCTTTCGTCGCATCGTCTAGTGGAAGGGCTGGATAGCATTTTTTTTGTAATTCCACGCTTTTTTCTCCACTTACGATGTTCCTACTTCTTTATAAGAGGACTGTTGGACGTTCGTTTTCATTCGCTTTTGCATGTGGTTGTTAACACTTCTACAGAGGATTTGCTCAGATGCTTGATAACTGAGCAAGGATCGTGAGAATCAATGCAGAAAAAAAGCTCCTCAGCATTTTGAGCATGTCATTGTTTTTTCTTTCATGCTGAGGTGATGCAGTCTGCTCCCTCTGGCACAATGGCAAATGGTTAGGTATTGTCTGGGAGCCGGTCATTTGGAACACTAATTAGTTTTCTATGGTTCGAACCTTTTTGGTTAGGGAGAGCGGGATTGCTCGATATCACTGAAGTTCCGTAGACGAAATAGTGCGTGTTGGAAAGCTGTAGGTCCCTCTTTCTTGATGTGTCCCTCTTTCTTGATGTTGCAGTGCATGTATTAAGTTCATGAGGATGAAGTCCGGTATTGAATGAAAAGTGAATGATCGTCTGATTGTCTCAACGCTCTGAAAATCGAGTGGGGGGAGGGGTGAGCGAGAAGGGAGGGAGAGGCGAGCAAACATTGTGCTCTGCGTATATAGTGTTAAGGATCTATCACGTCCTACGCTAAGGATAGGAGCTTTGATAAAGCCTCATATGATGTAACACTAGTCATCCTTCTCATTCATCGTTATAAGTGGTCCATATGCTCTCCTGTCCTCCTTCCGCAATAAAGTCTATTCCAGTTGGGGGCATCATGAAGCAGTGAAAGCTAGGGTAACTCCGAGCCAGGGGGAGTGTAGCCAGTCTAGGGGTGGGGGTGAGGGCAGTCACTTGACATGCGTGAAAAGCTGGAATGTTCGAGTTCACACTAGTTCGCCGAGAAACTGCATCATGATGCCGTCCCTAACTGAATAGACCCATGCAATATTTCGAGGCTGATTCAGCCGGTCCTTATCTATGAGTTACTTCATATGGACTTGTTATCAACTCTAATCCAAGTCAGCTCTCTTATCTTTAGTTCAAAGATAGAACGTAGAGCCCAGTGAGGTGATTTTTTTCCTCCTAACTCCACTCACCGCTTATTCCAGAGCCAAGGGTAAACAAAAGTGATCCTAGGTTGCCTTACCAGATCCGTCCGTCCCGTTTCTGTGCAGCGGTGAAGGGGTCAAAGAACCTTAGGCGCTTCTCGTTGCACAACTTTTGAATGCTGGGTGTCTGTTCGTTTTACATTATGTGGTGGTGGTACCAATTGTATATGAGTGGATGCGCATGTGATGTGTGCTTTTCTATCCGTTCTTGGATTTCTTCTAATGGCTTTAGTGTGTTTATAGTTTTTTGGAGTGATAGCTGCCCTCCTGCCTAGTACAGCATATCTTGTTACTTTTTTCATTTTCCTCTTCGTTTCACTAGTTTATTCGTAATTCACTTACCTTCAACTAACTCCTTTCGCTGTGGGACTAGGTGTGTTCGAATCGGGAAACGTGTTTTGAAAAATGTATCAATTTGTTTGGGAAGTTCACCGCCCAATCTTTTTGTTAATATTTTAGTAAACAATCGATCTTGAGATTAGAGATATGCACCCCCGTCTTCCACGCTGCCCTGAGGCTTGGGTAATTGCCTCTCTCATGAAGAGGGAAGTGGAACTTGTCTGAGGAAGAAGCGAAACGAACATTTCAATTATTTCGTTTATAATGGTTTTTTCTTTCTTAATTGAAGACGTGAAGAATGTCTCAGTGACCTCATCCTTTGCTCAAAATTTCTCCCGTGCTGTATAGATATGGGACCCAGGAGGGCAATAATTGGGTAAGGCGTGTCAAAGCTGTAGATGGCTTCGAGAAGCTGGACGGCCATCTTTCTTCAGCTCGGCCTGAGCAGCTTTGCCGTGATTGTTCGGAGGTTGGTGATCCCATCCGGTCTCCACCGTTGGTTGCTGTTAATCCCTCAGACCCCTTCACTGGCCCTGCTCTCTGCGAATCATCCTCCTCAGCCATCTCCAACGCTTCTGAAGGAAGGATGCTCGAGATTGAGAAACAATTCAGGAAATACTCCCACGGTTACAGAGAGGCGCAGCTCCCGTCTTTCTGGGAGCAGCGAATCTGTCAAGTGTCTGCGTCGACCTGTAGACAGGGATAGTCACAGCGGTGCCATCGAGACCGGCTTGTTTTCGTAATTTCATAGACGAATACTACCGGAAATTTTTCGACCAACGTGCCGTTTTCTGCAAAGAATGGTAAATGCTGGCTGTATCTTACACGGGTTTTGAACAAATTGTAAGGCTGCTCATTATATAGTTGTGGAATGAGGTGAAGTGTGTGATTGGGTTTCGTGGTGTGGTCACGTTTCATTGGGCCGCTAGTACTGGTCAGAGGTCAGCTTTGCTCCTCCAACGCGTTCAACCTTGCGTATCAACCGCCCATTTGTTGCTATTGAGACTCACTTTATCGCCTTCAGAGCAAATCCGTCGCCAGTCTGCGTAATTTCTCTTTGATCAATGATGCCTTTCTTTTGCAGGTAATATGGTGAAAGCCACCAGCGTAAAAGACGTGGACCAGCATGAAGCTGTGAAGCAAATCGCTCACTTCCTCAAAAAGAGTGGCAAGGTGAAGGTTCCCGAGTGGTCAGACATCGTCAAACTTGGAACTAATCGGCAGCTTGCTCCCGTTGATCCTGATTGGTACTACATTCGCACCGCCAGCATTGCTAGACGTCTCTACATTCGATCTCCAGCTGGTGAGCCTTTTTGTATGATTGGAAGTACCTTCAACACTGAGTCAATCAGAAGTCGGCTTTGGCTGCAAACATCTGTAATTTTGGAGTAGAGGCTGTTTATGTAGAAAATCGTTGAATTTTTATGGGGTTGTTGAGTCGAATGCACAATGGGAAGGGTTTCGCACGATTCTGGTGTAGTAGTAGGCGATGCAGCTGGTGAGGGAATGTTACCGTTGCTGGCAAGGGATTTGATTGCCTCTCCTCAAATCATGGCGGTCACCAAAGCGTTAATGCTCTTCTATTTTATGGCTGTTCCGGCAAAAGTTAATCGCATACCTGATTGCAGGAGCTGGTGCTCTGCGAACTGTTTTCGGTGGAA